GGGCATTGCAGGGTCAGAGATATTGACATGGTGAGATGCTGAGGAACATCTCTTCTAAGGCCTCTATGTGATATTATTATTCTATAATTCTTTGTCTCTCTCTCTCTTTTTCTTTTTAAGGATTCTTTAACTTTATTATTATTTAGTTTGCTATAGGGTGGGAGGGGAGGGAAAAAGCAAGCCACCAGGTCTGGGACTCAAACTATGGTTGGCCATTTTTTTTTTTTTTAGGTCTTTTGCCCTAGGGCACATGTACTTGTCAGAGAGAGAGAAAGAGGAAGAGAGAGAGAGAGAGAGAAATCATCACCCCAGAGGGGATGGCCACACTGCAATTTCTTCTCCTCCAATCTCCTGGGATTTAGGACATGCATGCACACGTGCCTGGTATGATTTTCAAGCCACCAGATCTGAGACTCAAACTGTATAGTTTGCCATGTGGGAATCTAGCACCTTAACCACTATGCACCTCCTGGCCCTAGCCTAATTCTTTTTTCCAGATACAGTCTCCCTTTGCTGCCCAGCATGAAGTGAACCACGCTCACAATCCTCATCCCTCAGTTTCTTGAGTCATTAGGACTACAGGTGTATGCTGCCATGCCTGGTCGTTAGTTCTGACTGGGAATCGAAGCCAGCCTCCTATGTGGTTACAGCCTGTGGGGCCAGTGTCTTAGCAGTGTGCTCCACTGTGGCTGGGTTCTTTGTCTCATTTTTATTAAAATACTTCATGAAGTGATTTACTATATTTCTTCTTTTTTTTATTTTCTCAAGTCCGTTTGTGAGAGTTAAACACTAACTCTTCTGCTCTTCAGTATGTTTAATACCTATGACTGTTATTAGAGATGTAAAATATAATTACTATTCGGCACATCTGACTATTCACAGTGTCCTTGATTTTATTCAGAATGTACAAAAGGAGGAGCTGGTTCATTCTGTAAGAGCAGCTTGTATCTTTCTGTAATTCCTTAGTAAGAGCAACACTAATTTATGGGACCAGTAAGGCCTCTGAGGAAAGAACTTCTTTTAATAATGTAGCTTTAGTGTGGGGTAAGGTGGGAGGGATGTTCTTGTTTCATTAAAGGGTAGATTGTTTCAGAAATTCAGGGAAAGGTGGAGTATTTGGAGTAGAGCTGGGAATATAGCATTGGTGTGAAGAGCCTAATACCTGAGAAGAGGAAAAGGAAGTGATTTTACCCTTGGATATTGTCAGGGTTCCATAACCCTTTAGAGCATACTTCCCAAGGCCAGCTCTTGCATTTATTTGCCTGAGGGCCTTATTTTTTGGCTGACTCCTTGGCTTTCTAAAAGTTTAGGAGAATTAACAGGCCCTCCCTTGGGAGAAGGCTTCCACCAAGGTTGACAGGAGATGGTTTATTGGTATCCCAGCTCTGTCAGCACTGACTGGGTTAGCTGACAGGCAAATTTTGACTTTCCTAGCAGGACTGAGGTACAGACACCCACAGTAGTAGCTGCCTTGACAACACACTCTTTTTTTTTTTTTTTTTTTTTTTAGAGGTTTTTTTCTCTTTCTTCTTTTTTGAGAGAGATTTTTTGCTATAAGGCACGTGCACTCACTGGAAAAACAGAGAGACAGAAGGGGAGAAATCAGCCCCCGGGGGCATGGCCATGCCGCAATCCCTTCTCCTCCATTCTCCTCTCAGGATCTTGGACACACGCACACGCGCCCAGTGACAACATACTCTTTACTGGCCAGCTTCCCTTTCTGTCTGACTCCTCCAACTCCTGCTAGTGTTTGACATCACTTCCCAAATAAGTCTGTGCACTAGCATCTTTGTCCCAGGATATGCTTCCGGGGAAAGCGAGAAACTAAAATACCTCTCTTTGTCTTACATACAGGACATTTCAAGCACCTAGCATGAATGCCCTAGCATTTACAAGGTGGGATCATGTGCAAGGATCCAAATGAAGTGTTAGTAAGGGGCCAGATTAAGAATATTCCTGCTACAGAACATCGAGAGGGTACTTAACAAGAGTGCTTGGAAGAGCGCCGCCTACATTGAGTCTTTCCTTTGTGCTCGATGATCAGTAGCCCTCTCCTACCCGTACACTCGTTCTTAACAATACGCTCAGTTCAGTTGACCAGAATCCTGTTTGCCGAGTTGCCATCACCTCCCAGCCTCTCCTCCCTGAGATGGCGCCAAGCCATCCTGATGGAGTACCAGGTCTGCCCAAGCTCACTAGGTACATGTGTACAGGCAGTCTCCCAGTTTGTTCCCAAAGTGCCTGTTATTTCATCAGTCTGGTATCTGCCCCTACTCCTGGGATCAGGCACATATGGGGCCTGCCAGGTGCATCACCAGAACCGAGGGACACCTATTCACCATCCTCTTACCCAGATGCAGTCACTTGAAGAGTAAATGTGAGGAGGAAAACTGAAGGCCAGAGTAGGCTTCTCAGGACTATGGATAAAATAATGGAGAAAGGTAGGCTAAAAGCCATAGGAATGGTTGGGGTTACAAGAGAATCTTTCGTGCTTTCTGTGTTTGACTTCAGCCATACTGACAACTTGACAGTCATCCTTGATTCTCCCTTCAGATCTCAACTAACCTGCTCCTCCCTCTGCCAGATTCAGTTCTCAAACTCCTATTCCAAGCCACAACCCCTCTGTTCTCCACTGGAGACTAGTGTTCTTTCTAAGATGCAAACTTGATCATGTCAGTCTCTACCTAAAGCCCTTCAAATTTCCCTTGTCCGAGGGTATTGGTCAACTCCTTGGCATGGCCTGTGGGCCCTCTTGTTTGGGTCCTGCCTACTGTTCTCCCCACTCATCTTGCAAAACACATTCTCGCTACTGTATACTCTTGCAGTTGTTGAATGTGTGATTCTCACACTTACCTTCATGCCTGTGAATGTACTATGCCTCCTTCCATATGGGGTGCTCCATCTTCCTCTGCCTCCTCCTCCGTGACCTGTCTCTTCCTGGTCCTTTAGGACAGAGCTGAAGTATCATTTATTCTTCTTTTGTTGGTTTAAAAGCCAAGGGCAAATGCACTCACTGGAGAGAGATAGAAGGAGAGAGAGGGAAAGGACCCATACTCAGTGAGGTATGGTCATCACAATTCCTTCTCCATTTCTCCATTCTGTTGGGATTTGGGACATGCACACACATGTGCCTAGTATGTTTTTCCAGCCCCCAGGGCCAGGATTCGAACTGCATAGTCAGTTGTGTGGTATCCCTTAACCTGTAGGCCTCAGGACCAGACCAAGTGTCACTTATTCTGATAAGACCCTGTGACTCTCCTAACCTGAATAAGGGTTCCTTGTATTTTACTATAATGACACTTACCAAATCACTTCCTAATTCTTACCAACAGGAGAGTTTGACCTGAGGTAACAGAGATCGAGAGAGCCGATGTCCAATGTCCTTAAAAAGCTCCAGAGTAAGAGGTGACTAGAGCCTCTCCTCATGGCCTAGGAATGAAAGAAGTCTGTTCTCCAGAGCTGAGGTGGGACAAAGTGCAAGCTTTCTTCTGGCCAAGTGGACATCTCAGAGGGTACCTGGGTATGGAGGCTAGATGGTGGCACAGCTGTAGGCCACGGTGCTCTGTGAGGCTGCCCTGCATGGAGAGTTCCGGGTTCATGTCCAGAGGCCTCTCAGTGTGCCAGGCACATGCATGCCCATGGTCCAGGGCTGGCTGAGGCGGGTGGGTCATGGTGTAAAGACCCTGTTGGTTGCTGTGAGTCTCTCTTTTCTCTGTTATTCTTAGAAGAAATGAAGGGGGAAAAGGAAGCTCCAGCTGCTGTGTCCCAGCAGCAACACACCGCCCTGCAGGACTGGAGCCCACGTGGAGCATGGATATCTGTGTCGGCCTGAAAACGCCAGGTGCGTGTGGGCACCCAGGATGCTGAGGCGTCAAAGGGCTTGGGGAAGGGGATTGCAGTGCGATGGGACACGTTGGGGGCGCCTCTGTCTGACCCTCTCTTCCTTCCTGTGTACGCGCACACTCTGTCATGAACAAATAATAAAATGGGAGGTACCTGGGCTGGAGGCACTGGTCTGGGTCTCACCCAAGGACTCAGCAGGGTGACATAATACAATAGAAAGAGACTGCCAAGGACTTTCTGTTAGAACGGGGTGGGGAATACTTACGGGCGGCTAACCAATTATTGCATCCTTTGTACAGGTAGCAGTGTGGAGGGCTTTCTACACGGGTCTCTGAAAACCCTGCACGTAGGAAAAGGAAAGCTTTTAACCAAGACCAGAAAGCTGAAATAACTCCCCCGAGATTTCACAGCTAGGAAGTGACAGTGCTGAGTTGGTGGATTCCAGAGCGCCTGGTGTTAATCACAGGGCCATGTGGATAAGTGGCAGGGGAAGGTTGACTGAGAGAGACTTTATAGTGGGAGTGAAAACAGGTGAGCAAGATAGCGTACTTCCTGGAGAGGTAAGTGGGAATGAAAACCAGCCTGGGTCATAATGTCCCTGACAGACAGTTTAAAAACTTCCATGGCAGAAAACTCCCTCCTACCCAAGAAGTGGGCACATAGCTAAGCTCATTTCCTTTGATTCCCCCTGCCAGAACTGCTTTGAGCAATTTCCTTGAAAACAAAGCTCCCGACATTGCATTCCTGGGGGCTGTCAGGAAAAGAAAATGAAAAACAGTAAGCATTTAGTAAGTCCTCCAGCAGGTCAGAAATCGAGACACTCCGGGGTCTGGAGAAACCCAACGTCTCTTTCTCTCTCTCTCTCTGGAACCCCTGGGCTCAGTGATCCACCTCAGTGCAGAAACTGTGCCAAGGCGGAAGCGGGGATGGAATCAAGTGGATTTATACAGTCGTCGCTTAACCTGGAGACCCGGCACCTGGCAGCCCCAGTCTCTGGAGTACCACCCCGCGTAAAGCCAGCCCTCTCGGGCTCCCGGCTTCTCACTCGAGGCTCAGCAGGGCGCGTCAGGGAAGCAGCGGGCTGGAGGAGTTCGACTCTGGAGTGGGCCGGGCCGCTGGGCTGGGCGGGGGCGGGGGCAACGCCAGCACGGTAGGGGGAGCGAGGCTGCCAGAGCTGAGCGCGTCACTGTCGCTTGGAGAGACACTGTGCTGCCCAATAGGCAGTGGCGCTCGCTAGTCGCCGGGTGGGAGCAGAGATATAAAAGTGCCGAAACAAACCCCCAGCGTAGCGATCTGGGGCTGCCAGGCTTCGCGCTACGCTCTGCCACAGCCGGCGCGCTCTGCAGCCGGCACCCCGCCTGCACGCTCAGAGCCGGCGGGGCCCCGGGACGCGCTCTCCCAGCGGAGCACTGCCTCCTGCACAATGGTCCTTCCCTTCTTTCTGCTTTTCCTCCTGCACTTGGTGAAAGCAGCAGAGCGCCCCGGGGGCCAGGAGGACGAGCGGAGCCTGGAGGCAGCCCTGGGCGCGCCCAATGCTTCGCACTTCTTCTCGAGCAACTACACCTTCTCCGACTGGCAGAACTTTGTGGGCAGGAGGCGCTATGGGGCCGAGTCCCAGAACCCCACAGTGAAAGCCCTGCTCATCGTGGCCTACTCGTTCATCATCGTCTTCTCGCTCTTCGGCAACGTCCTGGTCTGTCATGTCATCTTCAAGAACCAGCGGATGCACTCAGCCACCAGCCTCTTCATCGTCAACCTGGCCGTGGCCGATATCATGATCACGCTGCTCAACACCCCCTTCACTTTGGTAAGGGCCCTGGCTGGCGACAGCTTCCCGCTTTTGGGCTCCCTCTCATCCCTCTCCTGCTTCTGTCAGTCTCTGTCTCTGGGGCTACTCCTACCCCTCACTCCTGTTTCTCTCCCTCCTCTTGTCTCTGTCTCCTCTGCTTCCCTGTCTTAATCTTTCTAGTCTCTTTCCTCTCTTGCTCTCTCATGCTACTTCTCATCTCAACTCCCCTGTCTGTCTTAGTCTGCCAGTCTCTGTCTCTCTGTCTCTCTTCTCTCTCTGCATGTCTTCATCTTTCTCTTTCCATCCGTGTGTATCTTCTCACTCATCTCCTTTTCTTTTTAGTCTCTCCATGTTTTCACTTGTCTATCTCTTCTCTGCTCCCCTTCTTTCTCCCTATCACCTTTGAAGCCAGAGTGTAGGCAGCTGGTGGCATGGGGTCAATGGTCCAGCTGTCAGCAGCTCGTAAGTGGATGCTCATTGTCTGTTTAACCTCACTGGGTATGGGCTTGCTTGATTTCCAGATAGTAAAGCAAAGCCCCTGAATGTTAGCAGAGTTTTAGGTTGACCCCCTTCCCTCTGGTTGTAATGATTGAATGCCCACCCCCATCCCTAGGATGCTGCTTTGCATCAGGACTGAGCCATGAAACCATTGCTAATTGTTAGTGGCTTGTCCAGGGCACTTGCCTGCTTAAGTTGCATTTCCCTTCTGTAGTTCGAAGATGAGGCTGTGCGTGAGGTCTGTGTTGGGGAAGAAATGAGGGTGAGGTGGGTTGGGCCCTAGAGGTGGGGCTGGCCACTGGCGTTTGCACGAGTGGCTGGCAGACTTCCTCCAAGCCCCGGCTGTTCAGCGTTAATGGTGTCGTTTCTGCCTCTCTGTGACCTGGGACTGTAAGGACTATGAGCAATCATAGTAAGTTATACCACATGTCTCTATAGCATGAGTTGTCTATTTTTTAAATGTATGAAATCACTTTTTTTGTTATGTGATTTATTACCCAACAATATCTGTTCATCCCTTTCTGTCTGTATCTCTCTCAAACACACACCCAGAAATAACAGACAAGCAAACTGAAGATGAGCTCACGTTCATCTACTTGTGTGACTATCCTTCCAAACCTCACACTTAAAATACTCTCACAATTCTCTTGTCCTCACTTGTGAGAGCAACACTCACATTTTTCAGATAAGGAAACTAAGCCACAGAGGTTCAGACCCTCGTCCAGGCCACCTAAACAGTAATTGACAGAGCCAAGATGAAATAATAATTTCATCCATGTCACCTAATTCAAATCGAGAGATCTGCTGGGGACACCCTTGGACCACATTTGGCTTCCACTGCTCCAAACCATGGCTTTTCCTGTTGTCCTTCCAGCCAGTGGTCAACATATTCAGGGCCATTCAGGGCACTACCCAAGGACAAAGGAGCTTCCTCCTTGAAGCACAGAGGGCAGCAGCTCTGACTCCCCTTGGCTTCTCTTTGGTTTCTGACCTGAGAATGTGCAATGGTGGGTTGGGCTGGGCCACCTAGGATGGAACTGGAAGGCCCAGGGCTTGGTCTCTGTGTGGCTGCCCAGAGCTGGATGCAGGGCTGGATCTGCAGCAAATGCAAGTCGGGGTGGGATGCCGTGGTCCTGGGGCCAGGTTATAGCTCAAAGCTGGCAATCCTTCGAGGGAAGGGATCCCCTTCAAGAGAGGAAATGTCAAGGTCTTGAGTACCTAGCATCCCCTCCAGGATGAACCAAACCAGTGTGGCCTTGAACCTGACCCACAGAACTGCCCTTATCCAAGCTCCTTTTAGAGCTTACAGGACATGATTGGGAGAAGGGGCTTTTCACCTCAGCCTGCTCAGCACAGGCCCCTCAGTTGGGCATGGCATCCTTCATTTGGCTGGTTGGTGACAGAACCTTACTCCCTGGCCTCCCTTTCTACCCACTTTCTGCACTGCAGCCAGCATGAAGCAGGTGGTCACTGAGAGAAAAGCAAACAGTTAATGTACAGTGCCTGTGGCAGAGACAGTCACGGAATGTCATGGATCCTGGAGGGAGCATCTCATTCTGACCTACCAGAGTTCCAGGAGAAGGTCAGAGGAGACTTTACAAAGGGTACAACATTTCCGTAGGACCTGGATGAGCAGGAACTTTCCGGGTCAACATGAACACTCAATGCAGACACAGGGACCAAGGACAATGACGACAAGGAGACAGCAAAGTCAGTGGTATGTGGTGGAATATTGCTGGAGCTGCAGCAGAGGAGACAGGAAGCCCAGTGGGTAGGGGAGGTGCACCAGCAAGAAAGGCTGGGCCATGCTGGGCAACACAGTGAGCGGCCTGGAGGCTTGTGAGGTTTTGTATGGCCTGAGAGCTGTGGTGATTCTAAGCAGGAGGGTGAAACAGTCTGATCTTGGGGTGAGAAGAATACTGCATGCAGTGTGAAGGCTGACTTATAAGGGGGCGGGCTGTAGTATGGGAAGGCTGTGAGGAGGTTGTAGTAGATCAGGTGAGAGATGGGGAGGACTCCACTAGGGCTAGGGCCTTGGGACTAAAGAAGAAGGGACAGATTTGAAAGCCATTTTGAGAGAGAACTGGTTGGATTTGGTAATTCACTGGCTATGGAGGGTGAGAAGTAGGAGTAGCTGAAGATTTCAAGCTCTGTAATGTTACTAGACTGCTCAAAAACCTCACATGGCTCCTCCCTGTCCACCCCAAAGAGAGTCAAGCTGATGGGCTGCTATCCTTGTTTCAGAATCTGCTGGACTCCTCAAAATTCTCGCTCACACACCCAGCTAAATTAATCTACTCCTGATTCCCCATACAGCTTCTGGGGTTTCTGATCCAGTGTGATGCCTTTTGTTCTCATCTCCACATGTGCAAATCCTTTGTCATGTCAAATGTCTCATGTGTTGTAACTGTGCAATTTACAGTGCTAAGTACTTGCTAAGCACTAGGCATTGCATACCCACTTCACACATGTTATCTATCTTGTCTGATTTTGTCACAACCATGTAAAAAGAGTTAGCCCTGTTCTATAGATGAAGAAAGTGAGTCTCAAAAGACTTCAGTGCCTTGCCTTAAGTGAGAGCTACCATAGCCAAAACTCTGCTATGAATCACTATAGTATACTCTTTCTGTTGGGACAACTTGCTGTAGTTGTCTTTCTCTCTCTTAGTTTATTTCTTTCATGATAGAGAGGAAAAAAAAGAAACGGAGACAGGAATCTCTCTCCCAACAAAGTAATTCCATGCCACAATCCTCCTCCAGACTTCCAGCCAGCCAGGATTATGGGTACACCCACAGGCACATTCATTGTATGCGGGTTGACTCAGGATCCAAATTCCAGATCCTAAATGTGGCTCCAGTATTGCACTGCAGCACCCCGCTGCCTGAGCCTCTGTGGCTGTGCCTCTGTTTCTCTCTATATCATCTCTCACTCTCTGCCTCTGTCCCTGCCCCTGCCTGCTGGCCCCATTGCCCTTTGTCTGGGCCTCCATAGGGTACTGACAACTTCCTGTCTTGCTTTCCAGTTATTAGAGCTCTTTTCTGCGAAGACGGAAACTGATTAAGAATCGATGCATGGGGACCAGCAGTTGGCATAATGGCTATGTCGCTGGGCTCCCATGTAGTCGACCATGGTTCAAGTCCCAGACCTGATGGCTTAAACTCACACTGGACGCGTGTGCATGCGGACCCAAAATCCCAAGAGGAGAAGGGAGGAGAAAGGATTGTGGCATGACCATCCTCCCTGGGGGGTGATTTCTTGCTTTCTGTCTCTCTCTTTTTGGCAAGCGCATGCGCCCTGTAGCAAAAACCTCTCCAAAAAATAAGAGAATCGATGCGCCATCTTCCTCAGGCACAGGGCATTACTCATTGTTCAAGTACTAACGGAATGAGCCAGAAGCCCTTGGTGATGTATGGTGAGCTGTAGGCCTGTCCTAGGGCTGCACGCTGTCCTGGGAGCTGGCCTTCCTCCCTGTGCCCACCCTCACCCATCCAGGGTCCCTGGCTCCTTTGAGGCTAATGAGTTAGAAGGCCAACTTAGCCAAGACCCGCTAGCACAGCCCACGTTCTATGCTCTGACTCTTCAGGTGCGTCTCCCCCACTAGGCTGAAGTCGAATGGGTCAAAGATGAATTTTATGATTACACATAAATATAGCTACTATTTAATTCTAATAATAGCCTTTTAATAATCTGTCAGATATAATGTTCCATCCTTTACAGACTTTTAAAAAATTTAATCTTTGCAGTAAGTCTATAGAGGAGTTTTTGTTTTTCTTTTAACTGCCAGAGGATGCATGAGCTCACCAGAGAAAGGCTGAGAGACAGAGAGGGAGAGGGAGAAAGCACCCCCCAATGGGGCATGGCCACACTGCAGTCCCTCCATTTCTCTAACCTGTTGGGATTTTGAGCACACACAAACATGTATCTGGTATGTTTTTCAAGCCACCAGGGTCAGAATTCAAACTGTGGTTAACCACGTTGGGTACAGCCACCTTAACCATTAGGCCACAGGGCCAACCCTGTAAAATAGAGATGAAGATTTTTATTTTCTTGGCAAATAAAGAATCAGGTTCAGAGAGGTTACATATCCTGCCCAAGGTCACATGGCAGGAAATTATTAGAGATACAAAATCCAACTTCAAAGCTCACAACCTTTTCATACTGTCCTGTACCTAATGGGGCTTGGCCCGGTAGCATGATCAGGGTTTGTTGAACTGAATGAACAAGAATGAGTTATTCTGGAGGAAATCCCACATGATCTACAACGTGACACCACGGTGGAAAGAAGGAAAGAGCTGGGTGAGGCCTCTCGAGGGTAGGTGGGCTCCTCGGAGAGCACTGGGGTGGGTGGCGGAGGTAAGGGCCCCTTGTTTCTTGACCCCCGTGGCTCATCGGCAGGTCCGGTTCGTGAACAGCACATGGGTGTTTGGGAAAGGCATGTGCCATGTCAGCCGCTTCGCCCAGTACTGCTCCCTGCACGTGTCCGCCCTGACGCTGACGGCCATTGCTGTGGATCGCCACCAGGTGAGGGCACCTTCCCCCTGGACTCTGTCCTTCCCTGTCTTTGCTTTGCAGGGGAAGCTGTCAGGACTCTGAAGACAGTATTTTAGCCCCATTTCCAATAAGTGTACTTGACTTCTTTTTGATCAATATGAGCACTTAGATTAGGAATATTAAACCCTTTGTCTTAGTTATTGCAAAAAGCTATTCCCGGTTTGTTGTTCCAACAAAGATTCACTGCTGGTGTTTTCTCAGAAATTAATGAGCTCGTTTGAGGGTAGACAAAGGAGCAAAATCGTGGATGGAAAGAGAGCAGCGGGTATCTGTGAGCTGGAGACAAGGCTCCTGGGTGGGAGATGGATATTCACTGGATCAGATGGTTGAGGAGGAAAATAAGCCAAGAAGTCCAGGATCAGCATGGTTGGGAATGGAGGTACGGGAGTCAGGAAGACCCTGCATGCTATTTTTCTGTACTAGCAATACATGGTCTCATATAGTGACAGGACCCCAAGAGGACCTGAGGGTGCCCAGTGGGATGGATCCATACCAGGTATCTCGCATTGATGTTGTATGCTTACACTTTTGCTGAACAAAGACTCAGAAAAGTGCATTTGTAGCTTTTTCTAGACCATATGCCTATGAATGATGAAGCCATAATTAAGACTAAATCTGGCTCCAAGCCCATCCTCTGATCACTAGACCACCCTGTCCTGATAAGGCTCAGGGGAACTTATAAGACAGTATTTTAAGGGTCACCAGGACAAAGAGAGATGGAATTTATTCTGCAGAGTGTCAAAAGATACAAGAACCAAGGCATAGGAAGCCTTAAAGATGCGTTCAATAGAAGAGAGAATTTTCTTTTTTGAAATATTTTTAAAATTTTATTTAAATTTTTTAGAGAACACATTTGCTTGCTGGAGAGACAGAGAGAGGGGGAAAGTGAAAAACAACCTCTACCCCCATGAGGGATGGCCACAACACAGTCCCTTCTTCTCCGTTCTCTTCTTGGGATTTTAGGCACATATGCACATACATACACCCAGTGTGTTTTTCAAGCTGCTGGGTCCAGGATTCAAACCACATGGTCACCCATGTGGGATCCAGCCACCTTAACCACCATGCCACCAGTTGACCCAAGGAGGAAGAATTTTTTAATAGACATGTCCAAAGGTGGACATAGCTGCCTGGGAGGTATTGAGTTTGAGGTCATCCACCATATTAAGCAAAGTCTAGATGACAGCTTGATAGGGATGTTTTAGAGGAGATTCATGCATCTGCTAGAGAATTGGATTAGCTGAACTTTGAGGTCTCTTTGTCTTTGAAAAGCTGTAATTTTGTGAGAATTCACTCTGCACTATCAATGCGTTAGTGCAAAGTATGAAAATTTTGCATACAAACATTTCCTGCCTCTTAAAAAAACTTCCACCCTAATTCAACAAGAGGTTCTGGATTACTTTTCCCTAGCCTATGTTTACTTTGTTTAACAAGCTGAAGGTTGACCTGGGCTTTGGGTGGGTGTGAGGAACAGGACAGTAAGTCTTGCTCATCTTGACCACAGTGCTGTGACATATGCCCAAACATAAGACCCTGTCCCAAAGCCAGTGGAGTTCCTGAACAGTATTTGGGACTTGTGCTCCAGGATGTCACTCTGTCTGGCAATCTGAACATTGAAAGAGTACAAGGGGCAGAGATAGCAGCACGCAGGACAGAGGTGTACCATGCAGCTTCTGAAGCCCATAAAACCTTGAAAAATAGTAGGAGGGAAAAAAAATAGCTCTTAGGACATAGCCTGAATATCCAATGAGGCAGCAGTAGCTCTGTATGACCACTCTCCTCCCTGACCCTGGACTCATTCATCCCCCAATGCCTTTTGCAAGAAACAATGATTGTCACTTTAAAATCAGGATGCTTTTAAATTCCCAAGTCTTTATTTAACCTGTTAGGAGAATCGATTGACATACAGTATCAGTTCCAAGGTCTATCTCAGCCCAAAACCTTTGTCAGAGGTGTGTGAAAGCTGGGCCCCATTGCAGTATTACAATGGCTTCCATAAACACTGTTGTGAGCTCCCAAGTAAGGTCAGTGCAGCTTTCCATGACATGCTATGTGAGTTTCCTCTCCATGTCTGTCACCCTCTGCCCTCTCAGGAGCTTCTTAACCTAGGGTGTGCAGAGTCATGGGGAGACAAGGTCAGACCCCAAGAAGGTAGATGTCGACCTTGGGCCTGCTCCTCTGCCAGCGGGGCTGTGGATGCCATATAAGCAACCTCCTCCATAACCTCCTTTCCCCACTGTATTCTCACTGCACCCAGGTTCTGCCTGGGCATTGACCAGTAAGAGAATCCACCCCTGGAGGTGGGCTGGGGGTAACTAGGCCACCTGACCCCATGCCAGCTACCCGGTGCAGCATAGGGGCTCAATAGTGAATGTATGGGGTGCTTGACTTTATGACTAGGACCTGCCTTACATGGCAAGTGGGCTGTTTCATCCAGATTCTTGTTTGCTTCAAAAATGTCTTCAGCTAGTGATGCAATTTGCTTGTTTTCCAGGTCATTATGCATCCCTTAAAACCCAGGATCTCAATCACAAAGGGTGTCCTCTACATCGCTGTCATCTGGACCATGGCTACGTTCTTTTCACTCCCACATGCTATCTGCCAGAAATTATTTACCTTCAAGTACAGGTGAGATGAGTTAGTAGGGAGCAGCCTGGGGGCTCGCAGGAGCTTGCCCTGCACTTTCTCCGGAGTCAGGAGCCCCCGCTGAACTCAGCTCTCAGGGTTACACACACCTGTCTCACCAAGCCTTCTCTGCATCTTTTTGCTTTCTCTGTTTCTTAACAACTTGAGCTTCTGTCTCCTTTCCAGTTTGTCTGAGCACAAGGCAGTAGTTACTAGCTTCTGTCACCAGGGGGCGTGTGCTGATGCAGCTCAAGATCAGAATCATCCAGGCCTTGTTAAAAATGAGCAAAATTTGAATTCTCTCATATAATCTACAAACAAAATATGGACACACGTGTGTCTCTGAGGCAGAATTATCTACCTGCATTTACCTTCTCTTCAGGTTTAATTGTTACACACTTTCATAGAATGAGAAATTCTTTCATTAAGTTTTTAAACATTTAAACTAGTACATTAAAAGCCATCTCCCCGCTGGACTGTTCCTTTTGGGAAGAACTGGCCCCGTTTCTGATTTTGCTCCCTCAGTGATCCCATCACCTACAGATGCCACATGCCCAGCCCACAGTACATATTTACTGAATGAATGAATGACAGCTTAGAGTGGGTTTTTTTTTTATCATTTTAGAGCTGTTGTAGATGAAGTTCCTTGGAAATAGGTCCTGAGATAAATGCAGATACATGTGCAAATGATTTTAGAGTCAGTGTTCCCAAAAGGAAAGGGTAAGGAAGTGGGGAGACAGCACAGGAAAGGGGAGAGACCAGGGAAGAGTGGGGTTTTGGGGAAGCTGCACCTGTAGGGGTGCGGGAGGCTCCAGCATGAACTGCCTTTGAGCTCCCATTCCTCCATCTGTCAGTCATTGGTTCCGGCCTTCCTGGGAAAACACAGACATGGCCGCATGTAGCTTTTAGTGAACCTGTAGGGAGGGTCTTCGGTGGTCCTAGGCTTGTCCTAGGCACCTAGAAGATCCCAGGTGCCAGCCATTTCCTTCTGGGGGCAGGAACTGGGGGCTGGTGCCAAGATGGTGCAGGGAATCTGTGAGGATCCAGGTGGTGAACTGCCCGTGTCTGCTGCAGGGGCCACACGCTGCTCCACCTGACACACACACACACACACGCATGCACACACTCCTATGACAAAAGCAGGGTCAAGAGAAATGAACCTCAAAGGGTGATTTCAACTAATTTATAAAGGCTTCCTCCACAAATTCTAAGATGTTGGAGTGAATCATATACCCAGATACCCCCAACATTCAGTCTCCTCATTTGCTTTATTTTCTTTTTTTGATAATAAAAGCAAAGGGTTTTTTTCTTTCTTTTGCTAGCAATGTTGCCTGTATATGTAACAAGAGCAACAAACTACATGGACAGTCCCTCAGAAGGAGGAAGAGGTTTATGCCATATAAAACAAATTCTGGTAACACAAGTGACTCTAAGTATGTTATTCCAGGCTTTACCACCATATTCTTAAGATCCATCATTTTTTGTTGTTTTGAGAAGTTTTTGCTATAGGGCGTGTGCGCTCGCCAGACAGGCAGAGAGAGACAGAGAGATACAAAGCGAGAAATCACCCCCCAGAGGGGATGGCCACACTGCAGTTTCTTCTCCTTCGTTCTTCTCTTGGGATCTTGGGCACGCACGCACACATGCCCGGCGAGAGTTTTAAGCCACCGGGTCCGGGACACGAACCGCGGTCGACTACATGGGAATCCAGTGACATAGCCATTAATTACTCTAACTGCTGGTCCCAAGATCCATCATTTTATTGTTCCCTAGTTCACCTTTGGAAGGGGAAGATAATATGATGAGGAATTCCAAAATTTCTTCAAGGATGAGTTAACTTTCAGACTCAGAATGTGTGTTTCATTTATTCATTCAACATTTACTTATTAGGCCCCTACTGTGAGCTAGAACTAATACAAGGTTAAGAGGGCACAGAGAGTTAAGTGTATTCCTTACCTTTGCAGGACTCCCATCTAGTGGGGGAGTCAGAAACGCAATCAGATATTTAGATTACAGCATCCAAAATACTGTGTGAGTGATGGTCCCAGGAGCCCAGCAGAAGAGAAATCAGAGCTTCTTGCCATGAAGACTTGGCACACCAATATCTTCTCTCTGTTCCCTCTGCCTCCCTCCTGCCCCCAGCGAGGATATTGTGCGCTCCCTATGTCTGCCGGACTTTCCTGAGCCAGCTGACCTCTTCTGGAAGTACCTGGACCTGGCCACCTTCATCTTGCTATACATCCTCCCCCTCTTCATCATCTCAGTGGCCTACACTCGCGTGGCCAAGAAGCTGTGGCTGTGCAACACCATCGGCGATGTGACCACGGAGCAGTACCTTGCCCTGCGACGTAAAAAGAAGAAGACTATCAAGATGCTGATGCTGGTGGTGGTCCTCTTTGCCCTCTGCTGGTTCCCCCTCAACTGTTACGTCCTCCTCCTATCCAGTAAGGTCATCCACACCAACAACGCCCTCTACTTTGCCTTCCACTGGTTCGCCATGAGCAGTACCTGCTACAACCCCTTCATCTATTGCTGGCTGAATGAGAACTTCAGGGTTGAGCTGAAGGCATTACTGAGCATGTGCCAGAGGTTGCCCAAGCCTCAGGAGGACAGGCCACCCTCCCCAGTCCCTTCCTTCAGGGTGGCTTGGACAGAGAAGAGCAGTGGGCAGAAGGCTCCACCAGCCAACAACATTTTGCCCTCCTCCCAACTCCAGTCTGGGAAGACAGACCTGTCGTCTGTGGAACCCATTGTGGCAATGAGTTAGAGGGAGTTGAGAAGCGGCAGAGGGAGGGATCTGTCTCCAGCAGAGGCTGGGCAAGGGCCTGTCCTCTTGCACAGTCTTTACAGTGCCAGGAACAAGTTCCTGCAGAAGCTGCAGGACTCTTGAGCTCCTAGGAAACTCTGCCCAGCCTTCTACCCCTATTTGATGTGAAAACCAAAAGGCACCTATCAACTAGGCGTGTATGTTTAAATCTCCAGCTAAGAAATGCTGTGAGGTATAGCAACCTGCTTCCCTTGGGAGAGAACCGAGGGCAACTTTGACCCAGAAGGGGCTGAATTGGCCACTGCCTCCAACAGCCAGGCAACCACCTTATAACCCTTCCTGCTACTGAGCATCCATGAAGGGACCCAAGGCATACTTTGAATGCGGCTGACCAGTGCATGGAGCTCTGCTTGGAACAGGTCCATGGGCGGCTGATGTGTTTGCAAATCTGAGCTGGCCCAGAGTGTTTCATGCCTGACCTTCTAAAGGCATGGGACTGGGATGAATCTCAAGTTTTCAATGGCCCAGCTCTGTACAGGATGACAGAGGACCAACATGGGTTCCTTAAAATGAGAAGAGATTATCACCCCTGTGAAAAATTCAGAAAAGCACAAAGAAAAAGATAAGAATTGCTTCATTATCCTGTCGATTTGTGTAACTCCTGTTAATATGCTGTGGATTTATTCTCTCTCTCTCTCTGTGTGTGTGTGTGTGTGTGTGTGTGTGTTCTGAACTGAGCACTTCCATTTAATGATCAGCAAGAAATGGGCAGAGCAGAGAACTGTCAAGCCCTTCTCCCTGGAGAGTGCCCACCTGAAGAAGCCAAGTACAGGCTGTCTCTCACCGACAGAACTGGACCTCCAGCCAGTGGGAAGGGCCTGGCTCAAGGGCCTCCTCAGATGTCAGCAAACATGGCGAACTGGGGACCCATCCCCAGTCTAGAGGCATCATTCCTCCTCTCTGACCATCCCACGGAAACAAGAGGTGGTGAAACATGGTTCTGTATTCACAGGAGATGAAAGAGCAGGCTTTCCAATATGTGGGAAGTAATTATGCTTAGACACCTCGTCCTCTCAAGCTGTCTAGACAGACCATTTTTCTGTGTTGTCTGAATAATGAGGTTTTTTCACACCAGTTCCTGAAAGAAGGCTCTTCATCAGCATCGCCCTAGTAATTCACATGTCACAGAAACCTATGGGATCCTTAAGGAACTATATTCCTTAGGGCCCAACTTGTCTGAGGAATCTCATTCCAGAGACTGGTTGTTTCCACTACCACCTTGCATCTGGTTCCAGGTAACTCACTGTGTTACTCAGAAGAGAGACTTGTCAGGCAGCATCAAGGTGAAATCACCAGCCATAAACAATGCTCCCATTACCCAGTTTTAGGTTTCCTTCTAGCCCCAGGTACACCTGAAAGCAAAGCACAGATATGGAGCCGAGTGGGAAACCAGGGGAGAAGGGGTTTGTCCAAGATTCGCTTAGGTCTCTTGGCTGTTAATTGGCAATAAACTCAGTCCCAGCTACTGCTTCACTATACTGAACAACAAGGCTCATTATACTCGTCTCCGTATTTATTAGAATGTTTGAAAAGTTGATGCAAAATTGTAAAAAGTCATCTACTGCAGAGTGGGAAAGAGAGTGACTCTCATGGGACAGGGAGAGTTGTCTTAGCCCACGGGAGTGCCGAGTGAGTTTTTTCTGGGCAGATGCTCATGTGCCTCTGGTATTGTCTCCATGTATCAAGAAGGAGCTAATGGGCCCAGTCAGTGGTGTGGTGTTTAAGGCAGCGAGTTCCCACATAGCTGACTGTGCATTCTGAATCCCAGGCCCAGAGGCTTGAACTGCACATGAGGTACATGTGAGTGCATGCCCACAATCCCAAAAGGAGAATGGAAGAGAAGGGATTGCGATGTGGCCATCCCCCAGTGAGGGGAGCACTTTCTCACAATCTCTATCTCCTCTTGTCTCCCCTGGCAAGCACACAGGCCCTGTATCAAATTTTATTTTATTTTTTGCCTTAGGGTGTGTGCACTCACTGAAGAGAGAGAGAGAATTCACACCCCCCAGGGATGGCCATGCTACTATCCCCTCTCCTCTTCTCTTGGGCATGCGTGCACACATGCCTGGTGTGATCCTCAAGCCCCTGGGTCCAGGATTCAAACTATGGTCGGCCATGTGAAAGTCCAGTAACCCCTACACCACCTGCTGGCCCCATATATCAAATTTTAAAAGAAGTTAATGATTTTATCTTAAAGCTGCCATAGAAATTGTTGATGCAGGTTGAGAATAGCCAGCAGGGACACAGAAGGTTTGCCATGCCCTCAGTCTCATGGAGAAGACCTAGTTTACTCCTCTCTGAGGGTGTCTAGAAATACTGCCAAGCCACAGAGAAAACCCTTCTCTGGGAGATGACCCCTCAATTATACCATCAGGTCAGGGTCCCATCAGTACCCCGTCTGTCCCTTTCCCTGTGTTTCCTGTATGTCCCAGTGCAAAAAGTAATTTGTATTTGTGAATGTGAAGTTTGTAAAACTTGAGTTTTTCCAATGTGTTGCAAAGAGTTCTCTGTTGTAAATCACTCTAGTCTCAATAAAATCACTTGTTTGTGTTGCGGGCTGTGCTTCTTGGACTGGTGCCTGTGTCACAGATGGTAACCTTTAAAATGAGGATCAGCAGGGATCAGAGGAGGGAGCCAGAGCTCATCACCCAAGGCCCACACAGTACAGATGAGGAGGTTCAGGCACTGAGAGGGTCAACAGCCAGTGGACAAAGCTCTGACTCTGTTTCTAGTGCTTCTTCCACTGAGTCGGTGGCCAAGTCCTCACATTGTGATTATGACTCTGTGCTGCATTTTAGGTTAAGAGGTTTTTGCCTTAGGACACATGCACTCACCAGAGAGACAGACAGACAGACAGACACAGTGAGAGGGAAAGTGAGAAATCACCCCCCAGAGGAGATGGCCACCCTGCAATCCCTTCTCCTCCATTCTCCACCCAGGATCTTGGGCACACACGCATGTGCATGGCATGATTTCAAGCCACCAGATACAGGACTCGAACTTTGGTCAGCCATGTGGGAGCCCAGTGACTTAACCGCTGCACCATCTGCTGGTCCCCTGTGCTGCATACTTTTTAAAAGAATTATTTTATTGAACTTTATTTATTTTAATTTGAATTGAGAGGGACAGAGTGAGAGAGAAAGAGAGAGAGGGTGAGAGAGAGAGAAAGTGAGAATACAAGCCATCAGGTCTGGGACTCGAACCACCGTTGGCCATGTGGGAGCCCAGCGTCCTTAACCACCACATTACCTGATGGCTTCGTGTGCTGCATATTTTAACCTGGAACTCTATCCATTCCTTGTTGAATGAGGAGAAGGAGATGCTGCTACTTACAATGAGAGTGTCTCTCCATTCGGCAGTGTACAGTGGGTACCCAGTCCCTCTGCTGACCATGGTTTCTGTCCCATTGGGCCAGGCATCCTGTTATCCTGCCAGAAGAGCTGGTGGAAGCTTCACTGCAGATATAATGCAATCTCAGCCCAGGAAATCAGTTTTAAACACTTCCACAGAAAATTATAAATAGGAGTAATTTGCTGAGGCTGAAGAAAAACTTGAAAGAAAACTGAATGGTGAAGGAGAATGGAGTGAAGATTTGATGTTGTGTGATGTACAGTGTGATGCTGAATGCTTCTGAGCTCGCTCACCCTCATGACAGTCTTCCAAGGTAGGCATTGGTATCTCTGTATTGCAGATGAAAACTTGAGGTAACTTGTTAGAGATCACGTAGTTAATGGGGACCTGCTACCCACTTCAAGATTAAGTTCTGGGAAGGTGCGTAGAAAAAAAAATCCTTCTTTTTTACATTCAGTTTTCTTATATTTCCTATAAAAAGAATTGTCAGAGTCCATGTGCTAGCCACAGAGAGAGAGAGAGAGGGAAAGGATTGCAATGTGACCATGCCCCCTTCTCAGTGGAGCATGATCACACTGCAATCTTCGTTTTTCTAACCTGTTGGGATTTTGAGCACATGTGCATATGCGCTGGCCTGGTTTTCAAACCACCAGGGCTAGGATTTTAATGTGGCCAGTCATGTGGGATCTGGCTCCCCTAACCACTGGGACTTGGGTCTGGCCCTGTAAATGTCCTTAATTATCCAGGGCCCCACCAATCAAGAAAGCCCACACAAGCATGACCTCTTGAACCAATCACTGAACTTATCCTGTGCCCAAGTCCCCCTGCTCTCTATTTCGCCTGTAAAAATGCATGCTTAGAACTCCCTGGGAAGGCAGGGTTTGGTTTGGTTTTCAGCATTATCTGCATGCACAGCCTCTTGCTTTGCAAATGGCAATACAGCTGTACTTTCCTTCATCCCATCTTGGGTCTACGGTTTGGTTCGTGAACTTGTTTTGAGTTGGGCAACAAAGATACATCAGAACTTATTTCTTTTGAGACCTCGTCTGTCTGAAAATGTCTTCAATTTAAACTCATACTTATTTGTTAGGAGTTTATTTGTGTGTCAGAATATAGGGTAATAGGTTGAAAATCATTTTCTTTCAGAATTTTGGAGGCATTTGTACTGGTGTTAGGGTACTACTGTAACAATTCCAGGCTTAGTGGCTGAAACAACACAAATATATGATCTTCCGGTTCTGTTAGTTGATCGGAAGCCTGACAAAGGTGTCCTGGAGCTAACATTAGGGCACCAGCAGGGCCTTTGCATTGGCTCTGGGTAGGATCCATTTCCTTGCCTTTTCCAAATTCTAGAGGCCATCCATAGTCCTCGGCTTTTGGCCTCCTTCCTCTAGCTTCAAAGCCTGCAATGTTATGTCTGCATCTTCCATAGTCCCATTTCCCTCTGATTCTCTTCTTCACTCCTCACTCTCCATTTATGATTACATTGGGTCCTGGGTAACCTTGAGTGATCTCTTTAAGATAAAATAGGATCGTCTTTTTTTCTTCCTTTCTTTTTTTCATTTTTCCCATAGGGCGTGTGAGCTCACAGGAGAGAGACAGACAGAAATAGTGAGAGGAAAAGTAAGAAATAACCCCCAGGAGTTTGGTCACCCAGCAATCCTTCCTTCTCCTTTCTCCTCTTAGAGTTTTGGGAACACACACACATATGCTGGGCATATTTTTCAGGTCTAGGACTTGAGTTATGCAGTCAACATGCAGGATCAGCCTCCTTAACCTCTATTGCCACTTTCTGTTTCAGTCTCTTAAAGTCAGCTGATTAGGAGCCTTAAATTCATCTTTTTTTTTTTTTAACCTTGAACCCATCTGTAAATTTAATTCTCCTTTGCCTGAATATGTTCACAGGGTCTAGGGACTGGGAAGTGAACATTTCCAGGGGACAGTATTCTGCCTATGAGCATTGCTCCATTGTCTTCTAGGTGACAGTATTTTTGCTGAAAAACTGGATGCCTTTCTTTTTAGAGATTTTTCTATAGTGTGGATGCATTCACTGGAGACACAGAGAGAAACAGAATGCGAGAAATTACCCTCCAGGGGAGATGGCCACACTGCAATCCCTTCTCCTTCTTTCTCTTCTCGGGAGAATGCACGCACGCACATGTGCCTGTTATGAATTTTAAGTCGCTGGATTCGGGACTCAAACCGCAGTCAACTACTTGGGATTCCAGTGACATATTCATTATGCCATCTGCTGGTCTCAAAACTGGTTGCTTTTCTGACGTCCAGTCCTATGGGTGTGACCTAAGCACCATCTGTTTTAGATACAGGCCAAACAGGCCAATTGAATGGGCTTAAGAGGGGTCACCATGTCTGTGGGAAGCTGCACACCAGCGAGTCTGCTGAGGTTTCTCAGAGAGCAAACAATTACCATGATTGGTTCCCTTCCAAAAACCTGACCTTCGAAACCTTGCTCTGATTGGCCACTAGAATCCCTCAAATTTGCATATCTGGCACCTCATGATTGGTCCAAAAGCAACCAATCATAACCCACCGTTAACAACCAATCAGGACCCACCGTTTACAACAAATCACGACCCACCGTTTGTCTCCAGACGACTTGGGCGACCCTGAAGAGCTGTAACACTACATCGTCTCCGGACGACCCTGAAGAGTTGTGACACCGTGTCATCTCCGTGCTGTGACCCTTAAGAGCTGTGACACTGCGTCGTCTCTGTGCTGTACCGTGCTGCCCACAATAAACGGACGACACTGTCGTCTCCGTGCTGTAACACTATGCCGCTTGTCCCGGCTCTCACTCCTTCACTCAGGAAACCTGTTCGGCTATCCCCCCGGGTCGGGACACATGTCACATACCTTTCAAGTACTACACCAGCCTCTGACTCTTCCAGGGATTCAATGTTGTTTTATTAGATAAATGTTTTGAAAATATTTTTTTCTCAGTTTGTGACTTATCTTCTCTAAGCAGCTTTTGGAGAGCAGCTTTAACTTTAATAAAGCACATTTTATTAACTTTTTCATTCATGTATAATATAATTATTTTCATGTTGTAAAGCTCTAGGACAGTTTTTAAAAAATTATTATTACTCTTGGGGGCAGCAGGTGGCGTGGTGGTTAAAGTGCTAGACACTTTCACGTGGCTAACCACAGTTTGAGTCCCAGACCTGGTGACTTGCTTTCTCACTTTCACTCTCTCTCTTTCTCTGTGTCTCTCTGGTCAAATTAAATAAATGAATGAATGAATAAGATTAAATAAATAAATTTTAAAAAATTATTATTACTCTTAAGTAAATCTTTCAGTCAAAAATTCAGTTTCCAATTTTAATTTCAGAAATTAGAATGTTGAATACAAGAATCAGCACTAGATCTTTACCCAAAGCTGAATCTTTCCCTCTTCCCTGTCCAGACATACATACATCCTTCATCACATCTCTCACTCTTCAGTTCATGTTTGGATTTCAAAGTGAGGATAAGTCAAAGGGAGGGAGAAGAGGGAAAACTTCTACTTGCTGGAGTAACTCCCTCCTCTCTGTTCTGGGCAGATAGTTAAAGCCAATTTTGTCTTGTGAGCAGCTTTCACTAGCTTTGCAGAGGCTCCCCATGGCCTCTTTTAGTCAAATCCTCAAAACA